CTTGATTTCACATAACAACAACCAGGATGTGGGAGTGTATCTGGATGAGTTCTCAGTCACCAGGAATTGTGTCTAGGTTAGTTTTACTGGGAAACCATTCCAGGTCTTAGTGGCTTAAATATGTATTCTTTCTCACAGAAATTAATGAATAAATGATTGAACGGATATTGATCTTTTTTAGAAATCTCTGTAGGTGTTCTTAAGCTGTGTCTAAGTGACTCCTGGATACACTGGTGAGCTTGCCTGAGAGGGAAGTCCAGTCTCCAGGGTGGAGGCTCAGGAGCTGAGCATGCCAAATTTGCTTCTCAGCCAAGTTCTCAGCCAGTTCTTTATTCCACCAGTTTGGAAAAGTCAGAGGAAATGAGGAAACCAGTGCTGCATCCCAGAGATTTCAGGGTGTGGCCTCCTAGTCTTGGGCACTAAGTCCTGGAGAAATAAAAGCTGTTGGTTTTGATCTTCTGCCTGTGTGCTCGTGTTTTTTGTAGTTACTGTGTGATGTTGGATCTACTGTCCCCTGTGTGTGTACAGGAAAGTCACTGCTCATTTGACTTCTTTAGTGGCAAAGGATCAAGGGCTATAGTAATAGATGAGTAGATTCTGTGAGTAGGAAGAGGCAGGACTTCAAGGGTTTAAGGGCACTGGTATTAGGTCAAGAAACAGAATGCGGCCAGCACCGCTGAGGCTTCTGTGTCCTCTTTTAGCTGCTCATCTTTGCGCCAAGGGAATTCACATTTATGACAGCTAAAACCATAGATTAATTATGCTCATGTTTGAACTTTATCTGAACTCAGTAGCATGTAACCTTGTGTACCTGGCTTCTTTCATTCCACTCTTCGTACGACAAACATCTGTGACGTCCTGTGCTCTGTTCTTTCATTCCCACTGCTCTAAAGCAGAGTTTCTTAGCCCTGGCACTATCGACATTGGGGGTGGACACTTCTCTCTTGTTGAGGGTCCACAGTCTCTAGCCGCTACTCACTAGAGGCCACTAGCACCTCCTCACTAGTTGTGGTAATCAAAAATGATGACAGAAATTGCCAAATGTTCTCCTTGGGGGTAAAATCATTCTAGTTTGAGAACCACTGCTATAGTCTTAACACTATGCATCTATCACAACTTAGCCACTTATAATGGCTGTTTGGGTTGTTTCAGACAATCATCCATTGAGCTGCTGCCATAAACATACTTGGATGAAGTGAACATACAAACTCATTTCTGTTGAGTAATCAGAAGGGAATGATTAAGCTATAGCATAGGCATATTTTAGCTTTAATAGACAATGCCTAATCAGTTTTCAGAGTAGTTATACCAGATTAAACTTCCACCAAGTATTGAGTATTTTGGTTATTTCACTTTACATGTCGTAGAGATTAAATGCTTAAACACAGGGCTATTAGCCAGTTTAACATTCCATCAACAAAGTACCTGTTCAAGTAGTTTACTAATTTTTCTTTAGAATTCTCTGCTATTTCTTACTGAACTGTAAAAGCTCTTTGCATATGATAGCTAAAAGTCCTTAGTTAGAGATATGTATTACAGATAATTCTATCTCATTCTATGGACTCAGTTTTTTAGAGTTAGATGTGTTCTCTGCTCTTCTCATCAAACTGATGCACTTGTCTATTGTTACTTGTTTAATGGTCCCATTAATTGTCATGAATTTTAGTAAGGGCGAGGGTAAGGTGTATCTGTTTTGTTTACCTTAGAATTACCAACCCGGGGCTCAGTGCACAGTATGCATAAGTGAAATATTTTTTTAATGAATTAATGTATGAACCTTTCATCGGGAAGATCTTTTGAAACCTAAGGCTCAGTGTGTTTGAGGAGTTACTGATTTTCAGGCAACCAGCACAGCCCCCCCCCACCCCCCCCTGCTCCCCTACCCCCTTGCTTGGGGGTGGCAGCTAGCTCCTGAGTCTGTCTGTCATCCCTCTGCCAGCTGGAAGTCTGCCCACCTGCACCTGCCCTGAGGGAGGTGGGGCCTCTCCTGGAGAAGTCACATTTTAATTAACTTCCCCAGCAGTCACTGGAGAGGCTGGATGGTTTTCATAAACAAATGAGAGGCCAGAGCTTTGTCTGCAGCTCAGAATGTGTTGTGTGTATAAGGAATTCAAAATAAACAATCCCAGCAGAGATCCTGGGCACTCACCTAGAACATAGAACCCTATCTCCTTCCAGGGAAGGAGGGTCTGGGATCTGGGATTTGAGGAATGTAAGGGAGGGGTAGGGGGTAAGGAAGTTGCACTGCCAACTCAAAGGCATCCAGTTCTAATCCACCAGCTGCTCCTCTGGAGCGAGATGATCAATCTCCTTCCATTTGTTTTGCAGCCTTTGAAAACCTCCTGGGGGGTCAGCCAGAGGTGGGTTCTGACTTGATGGCACATAACAACAACAACAACACTGAGTAGTAAAGAACCCACGGAGTCTTCAGGCAAGCATTTAATGTATTCTTTCTTCACTTATTTATTAGGAACTAAGATGGTCTAGTGTACTAGGAGTGCCAGTTAAAAGGGGAGTGGTTAGAATCCACCTGCTGCCCCTGGAGAAAAGATGGGCTGTCTTCCTCGCACCTGACATTCAGCCTCTAACAGCCCAGTGGAGGGCCAGCTATGAGTTGGTTCCGACTCAACAGCGCATCATAACAGCAGCAACAACAGACACCTCATTAGCATCTAGCTTTCCACTCAACAGCTTTGCAAAGGAAGAAAATTGATGGTACAGTAATTAGGCACTAAGCTGCGAATCAAACCCACACCTGGGAGAAAGACCTGGAGACATGCTCCTGCAGAGATTAGCGCATCAGAAACCCACTGGGGCCACTCCTCGGAGTTGAAATTGACTCCGCAGCACCCTACAACAACAACAACAACAACAAAGTTCTACAGTGGAGATTGGGAAAGGAGACGAAGGTAAAGCCTGGTCTGCGCCTGCCTGAAGCGCACATTCTCTTCGTCATGCCAGTCATTCATTCACGATGATCCATTCTACAAATCATCACGTAAGCAATGACTGAGCTAGACAGTCAATGGCTTTATTGACATCTAATTAACATACCATAAAATTCATCCATTTTGTTTTAGTTGTCTTTATGTGCCGTCGAGTTGCCTGTGACTCATAGCAACCTTATATACAGCAGCTCTGAAGCCTGCCCTGTCCTGGGCCAGTCTCACTGATTCCGACACATCAACCTCCACTGCCCTAGTTACTCAATCAATCCATCTCATCTGGGGTCTTCCTCTCCTATGTTGTTCCTCCACACTTCCGAGCATGATGTCCTTCTCCAAGGACCGGTCCTTCCTGGCCACATGCTCAAAGTATATCAGATGGAGCTTCAAAATCCTAGCCTCTAAGAATAAACTTGGGTTTCAACTTCTCCAAGACAGACCTATTTGTTTTCTTGGCAGTCTATGGTATTTTCAAGACTCTTCCCTAGTACCCCAACTCAAAGGCATTGATTCCTCTGTCATCCTTAGTTATTGTCCAGCTCTCTGATGCACAGCAAGTAATTGAAAAGGCCATGGCCTGAATCAGGCACACTTTAGTCTCTAGACTGACATCATTGTTTTCCAGTATTGTGGAGAGTTCTTTGTCAGCAGATTACCCAATGCAATTTGTCTTTTTATTTCCTGACTGCTGGTGCCAAGAGTGTTGATTGTCAAGTGTACAATTCAGAAGCTTGTAATAGAATCACAGAGTTGGGAAACCATCACCACAATTGATTTTAGATATTTTTGATCACCCCTAAGAAGAAATACTGTCTTCCAACTCACCCACACTCTCTAGCTATCATAAAAAGCCTCCAATTGCCGTTGAGTTAGAATCGATTCATAGCTGACCCTCTGGTGGGTTTTTAGAGATTGTAATCTCACAGAAGGAGATTGCCCATCTTTCTCTCAAAAGGAAGCTTGTGGATTCGAACCACTAGAAAAGTGCTACCTTGAAGTAAGTAGTACAATTCCCAATGGACTACACCACCAGAGTTCCTCTGGCCCAGGCAACCTCTAATTTACATATTGTCTCTTTAGATTTGCTTAGTGTGGACATTTCATGTAAATGAAATCACTTTGTATGTGCCCTTCATGACTGGCTTCTGCCATTGTAATGTTTTTGGATTCATCTATGTCAACTATACACTACTGTATAGTTTCAAAGGTGGGACTTGGGGTGCTAGATCAAAGAAGCTTACCTGGACTACAGACAACTGGGAAGGCTTTCAAGAGGAAGAAATTTGTACTATCATGTGTCTGTTGAGCACCCACTGGAAAGGCTGTGAAAGCCATTGTTCGCCCTGTGGAGGAATTTGGAATCTAGGTAGGCCAGCCATTATGTACAGTCATGGGAATTGAGATGGTCACTTAAGTTCTAAGACTTGGACGAAGATAACAGAGTAGTGAGGGTTTCTGGAGTTCAGATGAGGGAGAGGCTTCTGTGAGCCCAAGAAGTCTAGAGAGCTGTTACTGGAGTGGGCCTCTGGTCCCAGGGAGCTGCTGCTCTAAAGAGAGGTCAGTACAGGTAGAGCTCCAGCTTGGACGTCACACACACTGCGTATAAATTCCAGCCTGTCCTTTACGAACCATGAAAACGGACTCTGCCTCTCCAGGCGTCAGTTTCCACATCTCTAAAATGGGAGGAATGATGTGCTTGCTGAAAGGATACAAACCTCATTTGGGGGTTCAAGGAGAGGAGTTCACCTGCTTGACCCAGTGAGTAGTTGAGTTGTCCAGCTGCCAAGCTGGTGGTAGTGGACATCATTACTAGACCCCACTGTGAATTGAGGGTTCAAGGAGAAAGTGACTTGGTGATGAGCTGCTCTGGAATGGATTCAACCATTTTTTTTAGCAGACGTGTTTGTACTCCGCTGAGGCTGGGCTCAGTGGTCCACATCCTGTGATGCCTGAAGGTCATGTGCAGCACCTGGGACAAAGCAGACTTTCCTTGTTGCTGAATTAATGGTTTGTCTGAGGTTCCACTACTCACCTTCACTCTCCTTCCCCCACCAGGCTGAACTTGGGAAGCCTCGAGAAAGAAGCTACAGTCTGCCTGGAGTTGATTTTAATTATGGCCTGTACATCCGGGGCACGGATGGAGGGGTACCTGCAGGTGAGAGGAAGCCATAAAGCTCGAGGTCAGATGAGAGCTTACTCTTCCTCACAGAGCTCCCATCTAGGGCTAGTTGCCTGGCATCTGACCCTGTGCCAGGGAAGGGCCCACGAGCCTGCCCCAAAGCGCAAGTCTGCTGGAAACAACAGGTCCAGCAGAGAGGAGTAAACTCCAGGGCTGAGCTGAGGTGGGGCAGACCAAACAGATCTAGGTTTGCAATATCAGGGAAACAGGTAGGTACCTCAGCCACCAGGCAGGGAGCCCTGTCCTCAGAGACGTAACTGTCTTGTTGTTGGAGAGCCCAAAGGTCAAGGCCAAACCAACCCAGCTCCATGAAGGTGCAGAAGCACCCTCTGGAATCCGGGGAAATCACATTTCCCAGAGGCACCACACAGCAAACCTGGGTTAGTGGAAAGGGAGGGGACCCAGATACAATACTCACCCCATTTATTCTCAGTCAGATGCCACGTGGTCTCCACTTCCCATGCTGACCATCTCACTGTCCTGTCTCCCTGCTCGCAGCCCTCGGCCATTGGAATGTGTTCAAGCAGCAGCCCACCTGCCCCCACGAGCTGACTCGGAACTACATTGCCATGAACCGTGGAGCTGTGAAAGCAGGCCTCATCACTGCCCGGGAGAATGTCCTGTACCGCCAGCTCAACGACATCCGCATCAGTGACCAGGATGACCGGCAGACAAAGAAGGAGCCACCCTCGATACCTCCAGACATGACGTTTGGGATTCCAGCTCGGTAAGGGGGTGGCCCCTGGTGGATCCGGGGATGATGTGGTAGGATGAGGGGGAGGCGGCACATTTGGACCCTGCAGCATCGTCCTGAGTTCTGCAGGGCTGGATCCTTGCCTGGCAAGGACTCTCTGCAGTATGAAGGAGACATGTCTCAATCACCAAACGTTTAAAGAGCCAGACGGCCTGCCTGTCTCTGCCCTCAGGGGATTTAATGACCTGAGTGAGGGAGGTGCAAACATTCCAGGTGACCCTAGGCCAGAGTGAGTCCACAGGGGAGGTTGACCCTAGGCCAGAGTGAGTCCACAGGGGAGGTTTTGGAGCCAGGACTGAAGCCTGGATTCTGGTCACCCCAAGCTGTGGAACCCTCAGTTTCTGCATCTGTAGAATAAGGTTACTAATACCCACTTTATAGTGTTACAAGGTTTTGATGACATACCACACACTGAGGCCTTACCAGGGTAGTGTGGGACTTAGTGAATGCTCAATGAATGTTAACTGTTGTTAAAACAATACAAATGGCAACTGTACACCCAAGTATTGCAAACATCAGGGTTTCTTTAAAATTGAGGTATAACACATATAGGAAAGTGTACCATTTTTAAGTAGTCAGGTAATATATTTTTACGAATGGAAATATTAATGAAACTACCACTTTTATAAAAATATAAAATGTATTTAACACTTCATAAAATCACTCTGTTCCTTCTGAGAAATTACCACTCTTCTGCCCACTCTCCTCTCTGGCTATATTGGAGTGGATGAGCATTCCAGTTGCTCCACATTCTTGCTGATATAAAGTGCTATGAATGTTATAGCAAGGATGTGGCCAGCATGGGGTTTAGATTAGTTCTCTATTGCTAAAGAAGATCCATTGCCCACACAGAAATACAAGGAGATGAGATCACCAACATAAAATGACTCATAGAGCCTATTTCTAGAATGGTCTTTTCCCTAGTAATTTTCTACATGACTGTCAAAATTACTCTCTTAAAGCACATTGTGTTGCTCCCTACACTGATTTTCATAACAACTCTGTGCTATTAGGGGCCTTATGTATTTGTTCATTTTGTCTGCCCAGAATTTAAGTCTTGATCACATAGACTGATTTTGACTCCTGCTTCAGGGATGGGCAGTTGACCCAGGCTTGGCTAATGGGGACATAGATTCCCCCTAACCTCAGCAGCTGGTTCAGACAGAGGCATATGACAATATGGGACTGGCCAATCAGAATATGTCACAAACTCCAGTTCTCAGTTACTGGTTCAGAGATAGATGTGTAGCTATGTCTCAGCAGCCCTGACATTCAGGACATTCTATGAAAGTAAATTGTGGTTGCATGTAATCAAAACTCAATTCAACTCTCGGTTATGTTCCATTCTCTGACAAACTTTTCCTACATGTGACAAAAAACCAGTAACAGTTTCATTCTTAGGTTCTATTGTTAATTCCAGTATAAAGATATAGGAACTACAAAATCCTTTTACGTCTGTCCTCCAATCTGTTCACATATGTATCTTAAAAGGCACTGATTGGCCATCTCAGGGTCACATGCTTGCCTCTGAGTCTTTCTTTGGCTGTGCTACCCTGTGGTTGTTTTTATGTGCTGTCGAGTCACCTTTGACTCCTAGAGACCTTATGTACAATTGCTCTGAACTCTGCTCTATTCTGAGCCAACCTCATCGTCTCCGACAGAACTAATCCCTCAACAATGCAAAAGCAGCTCAGTCTTCAATGCCATTTTAGAGTCATATTCATATTAAGCATTTGACCTCAAATACCATGCACATCTCCCTTACCACAAATACATTTTTATTCATTAGTCCTTCAAATCTGAAACATGACACTAGAAACACAATGGAAAGTCATTTCAGGGCTGGATCAAGTAATAATCTGTAAATCAGCCTTTCCCAGCTTTTGGAATAATCCCCCAAATCAATCCCTCTTAGGTCTCCTTCATGATTATCCCAGTCTGATTCTAATTCTTCCTTGGCATCTCTCAGCTCATAGGACCTCCTTGCCCTGTTCTAGAAGACTCTGGAGCAGGGATAGAACCAAGTCTATGCTCTGCACAGTGTGGACCATCACACTGGTCATCAAGGCCCTCTGTCCTGTAGTTCTAGTCCCGGCATTGTCCCCTGCACTCCAAATCACTCTTCTGTTACCCCATCTGTAAATAGAATGTCATTCTCTGTTGTTGTTTTGTGCCATTGAGTTGGGTACGACTCATAATAACCATATAATCAACAGTTCCAAACCCTGTCCTATCCTGTGCCATCCTCATTATATCTGACATACTTGAGCCCATTGCTACAGACACTGTGTCAATCCATCTCATTGGGGGTCTTCCTATTTTTCACTAACATTCCACCATTCCAAGCATGATGTCTCTCTCCAAGGAATAGCATCTCCTAGCCACATACCTAAAGTATGTGAGATGTCATTTTTGCCTCCAAGAACCACTTTGGCTGCACCTTCTCTAAGACATTTCTATGTTCTTTAGGCAGTTCATGATATATTCAGTTCTCTTCTCTAAGACAACAACTCAAAAGCATCAATTCTTCTTCTGTCATCCTTATTCATTGGCCAGTTTTCAGATGCATAGCAAGTGATTACAAACAAAGACGATGGCTTGAAATAAGTGCACCTTACTCCTCAAACTGACATCATTGCTCCTCAATAACTTGATGAGGTCCATGACTGCAGATTTTTCCAGTGCAGTATGCCTTTCATCTCCTGAGTGCTGGTATCAAGGATGTTGATTATGGATCCAAGTAAGACAAAGTCGTCGACAGTTTGAATCTTTTCTCCATCTGTCATGATGTTGCCTATTGATCCAGTGGTGAGAATTTTTGTTTTTTTTGAAGTTGAGATGCAATCCTTATTGAAGGCTGTATTCTTGGATCATCTGCAGCAAGTGCTTCAAGTCCTTTGCTTAGTATAGGTTATTGATTCCTCTGATCCTAATGCCACAATCTTCTTCCCAAAGCACAGCAAATGGGACTGCTATGAGTCTGATTCTTACAGCAAACCAAATCAGCCATGTGAGTATAATGTTGTCAGAGCCAGTGGAAGCCTGTGGTGGTGTGGCAGAACAGGGCCCCAGAGGGTATTGAAGAGTTCCAACTAAGACTCATGGCTGGCGTAGTGAGGTAACATCCCAAACATGGGTCCCAGTGATGTCTCAGCTACATCTTTTTTTGTTTGTTTTCTGTTATTATTAAATTGTTTATTTTTCTTTTCTTTCTTTTCTTTTCTTCTTTGTGTGTGTACTGTCAAATCAGATCTGACTGGTACAGCAGGAGATTGTCCCTCCTTCTCTAGCAGAGCATCTGGTGGATTCGAACTGCGCACCTCTGGGATTGCAGTGCAGCTTCTTGCCACTAGGCCACCAGAGCTCGCTTAAATTGTTTCTTTTGCTGCAAGGCTGTTGCTTCACTGTAAAAATAGCACCAGCAAAGGCAGGATATGGCAAAATGAAGATAGTATTGTTCTTTAGCTGACACTGTACAGCTAGCAAGAACTTATTTCTAGTGGAAAGTTTGCTAGGTATTCTACCACAAATCTAGGTGTCAGCAGTAGGAACATTATTTCAGACTTGAGATAACATTATCCTTGAACCATAATTTTTTATTTTTTTAAATTGTGATTGTATTAATTTTATACTAGTTTATTTACAAAATTCTATTACATTGCCTTTGAGAACGGATTCTTTCCATTTCCCTAACCCCGCCCCCATCAAATTGTACCCCATGATTAACCCCCCGCCCCCTGCACATCCTAATCCCTCTGCTTCCAGCCTCTCCAACCCCTCCTGGATCCTTATACTCTTTCTACAATAATGGTTTTATACAGTATTTATCCTTGTGGGACTGAGTTAGTTCACTCAGCATAATGCTCTCCAGTCCCTCCCAAGTTAGGTAATAATTTACAAAATCGTTGCTCCTGCATGCTCCATAGTATTCCACTGTGTGAATGTATCATAATTTCTCAATTTGTTTATTTGTAGTTGGACGTTTGGGCTGTTTCCATGTTCTTGCTGCTGTGAATATTGATGTACAAATTGTGCACATTGGTGTATAAATATCCACTTTATGCCTCAGTTCTCATATTCTCAGGTTATATTCTGAGCAGTGGAATAGCTGGGTCATATGGAATTTCTACATTCAGCTTTTTGAGGAAGTGCCAAACTGCCTTCAAGAATGGTTGTACCATTTTACAATCTTACCAACAATGTAACAGAGTTTCTTTCTCACAATATCCTCTCCAACATTTATTATTTGCTGCCCTGTTAAACTTTGCTGCTTTTACTGGAGTGAGATGGTATCTCATTGTGGTTTTGATTTGCATCTCTCTTATTGCCAGTGATTTGGAACATTTCTGCACGTGTCTGTTTGCCATTCAGATATCTTCCCCTGTGAAATTCTTTCTGTGTCTTTTTCACATTTTGTAATTGGGTTATCAGTCTTTTTCTTGTGGAGGCCCAGGAGTATTCTGAAAACATTTGTTATAATACTCTTGTCTGAGATGGTATTACCAAATGTTTGCTCCCAGTCTGTAGGGTTTTTTTAATGCTGTTGGGAAAAGTTTGTGATACACACATGGCTTTAATCTTTAGAAGGCCCCATGCATCAGTTTTATCCTCTTCAGATTGTGCATTTCTGGTTGTATTCGACAGACTCTTTATACCTTGGACTAGCGCTTCCAAGCTTGATCCCAGTTTGTCTCTTATGAATGTTATGGTTTTGGGCTTTGTTCCCAGGTCTCTGATCCACCTTGAGTTGATTTTTCCTTGAACCCATTATTTGTAGAACTGTTCTTTGAGGCTGGTGCTCCACACAAGCTGATTTCTTAGCCAATCCTGATCTAACAGTAAGAGGCTCAGCCAGCAAGGGGCGGTGTGGTTGAGAAGAAAGTTATCGTAGGAACCTGACATCCCATGGTTCTCAGGATATGTTCTGTCTTTTCATTTTCATTCCATTAAAACCTCAGCAGAAGGTAAGCAGG